TTGTGAGAAGAATGCTGATGCTGATGTGAATGATGAGTATGAGAAGATTTATTGCGCGTATCTGATTCAGATTTATTCTGCTGAAAATAGCAAATAAATAGTTGAAATATTACAAAAATATATAAAAAAGACAAAAGCATGAAACAAATAAGTTTTTGAATGTATGTAAATGTAAACAAGTTTATGTTACAAAACAGCAAATTTTTAATTTATTGATTTTATTCATTGTAAATGAAGTTTATGAATAATTCCAGTCTTTAGATAATAGTTTTAAATGTTCCAAAAGCTTAAACAATGATAAGGACAGACTTCGCTAAAACAACATCTCTATTTAACCAATGTCATGTAAATTTTATTATAAATATTCAAACTAAAAACATTCATCAATAGAAAAAGCAATAATTTTCTTTAATATGTAATATATAACAAATTATCAAATTTACAAATAATCTTAAATGAAATAAAACGCTGTTTTAAAGTTTTGTTTTAAACACTCTTTAAAGAAAAAGAAACTCGATAACCAATATTTTATAATAGTTTATTTTATTTGTTCATCACGATCAATTGTTTGCCTTTGCTATTAAATCAAATAAAGTTCTTTTGAATGTTAAACTTTGTCTTAAAATACAGTAATTGCAAAACATACTGTATTGACAAACTTATACGTTCTATAGTTAAAAGAAAAAACAAAGCGTCAAAACCTAAATAACATTTACTAGCTATTATGTACCCGCGACTTGTGGCAAAGTAGTTTCCAATGTTTGCATAAGGTATTTAAGGCATTTAAGAGTCTTTTGAGAGTACAAGTGAAGTGCTTCTACAATATTGAAAAGTGTAAGAAGAAAACAAGAAATAATTGTGCAAAATCTCATAGAAACTTAAAGAAATTCTCACCTGATTTTGTCCCTCTTTTTTGTTGCTCACATTAGAGGTTGCTATCAAATCATGACCACCATGGTGACCAGCCGTGGGGAAACCCTGATCCTGGGAATCACTAGAGTCATCATGTGAATCGCGACGATGCATACGAAATCGTGTAGGTGTATCACCCACTAGTTTGTGCATCTTTTTTTTACTACGACTTTTTGTGTCGTCGTCCGAAGCTTCTGAACTGCTACAAGAAGGCGTACGTATTTTATTCAATTTTGTGTGGCGTCTGTGTGTTAGTACAGGGTTTTTACCCGGCAGATGTTTTAGTTTTCCTATTTCCAGTTCTTTTAGGCCGCGTAATGTGTCTTGCATTTCAAGAGACTTGTCTAAAGCTTCGCACGGCCTTTGTGCTTCTCTGTCCTCATTGGTTGTATCCTTTTCAATTTGTTTAAGTTTCTGCGCCAGCGCAGCGTCAACAGATACAACCATTTTGGTTTGTGTGTCCATGTCAGCGTCTGTGTCCATATCACCACCAGCCTTGTTGCCGGAGCCAACCGCTGCCACCACATTTGAACACTTTTCTTGTACTGAACGATTTAAACGCCCATCCGATATGGATTCTCGTCTGGTAATGGCAACTTTCAATTCATTGCCATCACAGGAGAGTTCATGTGATGACTCCTCCTCATCCTCTTCACGCACAATACTACATTTTCTTGTGCGTTTGTCCTATTTGTTGTTTTAGTTATCATAAAAGGAAATTAAGTGAATAATTAGTTTTTCTGTTATAATTCATTTATACCGGTAGGCAAATAGTTAAAGTGTTTTTTAAAATTAGAAAATAAATTGCAGTAATAGTAAGAAAATGGAAACACACCGTTTTAATTTCATTTTGTATTGGCTCTGGTGCACATACAATATTAATGGGCACCACCATTTGCTTGCCACCCTCTAAAGGTTTAGCTTTTTTATCCGGCACTTGAGCACGCCCCACACCACCAATAACATTTCTTTTTGTAATAGATCAACATATGAAAAATGTAGGAATTTGTTTTTAGTTATGATTGTGTTTTTTTTTAAGAAAAAAGTTTTTAACAAAATAACAATTTAGATTAGAACTTACTTTTTTCCTAAAGCTAAATGGGGATTTTGTTTCAAATGTTGTTCTTCTCTGCGTTTACGTAAACGCATCTCAGCCAAGAGAAAATAGGTGGCTGTTATGTGATTATATTTATCCTTATCTAAGGCTCTAAAAATACATAAGGTATAACATTAATGTAATTGTGTTTGTGCTTGTTAATAAAGGACTTACTGCAAGATATCTTCTTTGGGGGCTATATTGCCATTTATCATCTTTTGTATTATAAAGGCATGATCTTCTTCACTCAATTGCTCACGACTGATAAGAGGCAAATAGTCGGCATTATCACCTTCAGGATTTTCTTTGACCCAATCATCTGAGGCTATCTGCTCTAGGGTAGCACGTTTTTTAGGATCTCTAACTAGCATAGAGGCGATTAATTTGCGGCATGTGGGTGATATTTGGGGTGGTACTGAATATTTACAATCCATAATCATTGTTAAAGTTTCTGAATCATTTGCCTTTTCAAAAGGAGGCTGACCACACACTAACATGTACAGAATAACGCCTAAAGACCAAATGTCTGTAAGGAAATAATTAAACGAAAATTATAACTCTCTTGTAAAAATCGAAACTAAGATAGTAATACAAAAAGAAGAACTAGTTCAGAAATACGTGTTTCAAAAGGTGTTTTCTTTTGAATTGTTTCAAAGACCTTAAAGAAGTTCAAGGTTAAACATTGCTTATATTTGATCACAATGCTGAATCATTTTTATACATGATTTCATAGAGTTAAGCTGAGGATATATACGTTTTATAATTTAAAATATGTATGCCATAGTCATACAAATATTTAAAACTGCAACTAATTGCTACGTAATATAAAGTTCAATTGAAATAACCTTTGCTTATTAGAGATAATTTAAATATAGAATTTGTTCAGTTTTGCTTAGAAAAATCTACGAAAAACATATTTTATTAATACTCACCAACAGCCGGAGCATCATAAGAATCTCCCAATAAAATTTCAGGAGCTGAATAAGCCAAACTACCACAAAATGTTTCCAATTTTTGGCCGGGAGAAAATTTGTTACTAAAACCAAAATCTGTCAGCTTAACAACACCCAGTTTTTCAAAAAATACCACATTTTCAGGTTTGAGATCTCTGTAGTATAAAGAAAATGCAGAAATTAATTGTTTGTCTTGGTATGTACATACATACATATGTATTAGAAAAGTTACAACATACCTGTGTACAACATGTAGTTGATGACAGTATGTGATGGCACGTAATATTTGTCGAAAATATTTACGGGCCAAATGTTCACTAAGACCGCCGTCATGTTTCATAATATAATCGTAAAGATCACCGCCATCACCCAGTTCCAAAACTAAATATAATTTAGTTTGTGTATCAATCACTTCATACAAACGTACAACATGGGGATGTTGCACCAATTTCATGCATCTAATAATAAACAGTCAAATTAAGTTTAAATTACACACACAACCAGCTAAAAGATTCTAAATACCAGGAAAATTTTCCATTTTTTTACCTTACTTCCTGGAATAAGTGAGCCTTGGATACTTCGTCTAGCTTTGTCTTGTCCACTACCTTAACGGCAACTTTGGCGCCCGTGAACACATGTCGTGCCAATTTGACCACTGCAAAATGGCCCGAACCCAGTGTCTCCTCGAGATCATAGAGGCCTGCAATTTTACCATCATACGAAGCACCACCAGATGTATGAGCAGCAGCCGAAGCTTCCAACGTACGTGGATGCTGATGTTGCATATCACGAAACAAGGCTTTATGTCAATTACTATCGTTACAATTTAAACTATTTATTTAATTTTTTATTTATTATTTTCTTCTTTTCTCATTAGAATAAGAATGTGTATGTTGCGCAAGGTTTATCTTTTTTTTTGCTTTTTTGGCGATCGTTCGTACACACAAACACTATCTATCACTCATATACAAGATGCTTCTTCTTGTTCAAAACAATTGACACTTGAAAAATGTAAAAAAATAAAGAAAAACCTCAAATTGGAATTTCTTTCTTTACACTTTTCTATTTATTACACTTGTAGTTAATTTTCGATTAGAATTTATTACTTTTTGTAGCTTAACAATATAACATTTGAAAAAAAAACCAACAGAGGTTTTTTGGAAAGGCCCTTTAGCAAAAAATTTCTGGCACAAATCTATGTATCCATGCTTCAAGTGAAAATCGATTCCGGGGGCCACGCACTACATATAAAATAGCAGCAACAATAAAAAACACGAAACTAAACTTTACACTAACAATTATACATTATTATTAAATAACTTTATTCTTTTAAATTTATTTAAAAGTAATTTCACACTTTCTGATTTCTTTTTTTCTGAACAATTTGTTTTCTTTTTTATTATTTTTACATTGAAAAATTCCTCTACAAAAATTTTCTCGCTTCACTTTTTTGCATTACAATGTCACTAAAAAGAAGTGAACGCCGTCAACTGTCAATAATGTATTGCACAGAGATGGGAAATTATGTTTTTGCTTTGTACAAAAATAGTACTTTTTATGCTCTAAAACTACTAAAAATATTTGACGATTTAGAATCTAGATTATCAACTAAGATTGAATTTGAAAATATAAAACTAGATCAGTAAAACATTTTAAGGGTTTTTGCCTGCTTTTGTGTCCGAGTAACGAGAGTGAAATTTTATGGTATATTTCATGAACTTGTCAGATCTGCATAAAGTAATAATGTATTTATAGTACTAAAAGTTTAGTTTCCATATCCGTGCCTATGTTCGGTCTTTTTGAATCGGGAAGAAATATTGAAATATATGAGACTTCCAGACATTTTAGTTGTGTCATTTAAATAATTTTTAAACTGGACACATTGAAATTAAAAAAATATAGGTTTTTATTATGTTATACATCAGAATACATTTTAAACAATAAAAAAATTATTGAATTTTTCCCTGATTTAATGTAAACATTTCAAAATACTAAAACATCTGGTAACCCTTTTTTCATATGTTTTGTATTTGTATGTCAGTCAAAGTACAACACTGTCATTATTTGTAAAAAATGCTTATTGTAAAATTTTTTTGGAATTTTCTTGTAATTTTATAAAAGTTTTCCTAAAAATAAACCCAAAAAAGTTTAATGAAAACTCTAAAGAAACCTAAGAACAAGTGGTATTATTTGCATCCAGGAAGTTGCCGAAAATGAACAAACTTCCACAACCTTGTTCTCATTTTTCCAATGAACATTCCACTTTGTTGGACGTCAAGCAAATTGATGGGGTAAATACTTGATATATGATCTTTGTATTAAATACAATTAGAACATGTTGATATGTTGTATAATTTTTACTTTTACACCTAGAACAACACATGTGCCAACTGCCCATATAATGGACCGAATCTGTGGATATGTTTGCATCGCAAGTGTATGCAAATTGGTTGTTCTGAACAGGCAAATGACCATAGCACGGAACACTTTCAACGTAGTAAGGATAAACATTTGCACTGCATACATATGAATTTATCGTCTCAGAGGGCCTGGTGTTATCTTTGTGAACGTGAGGTGTCCATTGGAGGTACCGATCGACATGTACATGTAACTGCTGATCCACTTTTGCGTGGTATGGCCTATTCTGACGAGGAGAATGATTCAGATTCTGGTACAAGTGGTGCAAGTACTGGTTTGGTGGGCTTACAGAATATAGCAAACACTTGTTATATGAATTCGGCCCTGCAGGCTTTAAGCAATGTTGTGCCCATGACCCATTATTTTTTACATTGCAGTGATTTGGTAGATTATACCCTAGAACAGGGTGCTCATAGATGTAAGGCAGGTTTAGCTAAGAGCTATCAACGTTTAATGCGTGATATGTGGCGTAAAAGAGGAGAAGGCAAAGCATTTTTAGCCCCCCGTAGTATATTGTATGGCATCCGTTCAGTTCATCCCATGTTTAGAGGATTTCAGCAACACGATACCCAAGAGTTTTTGCGCTGTTTTATGGATCAATTGCATGAAGAACTAAAGGAGCAAACCTGCAATATTGAGGCCAGAACAATAGTCTCCTCATCAAAAGCCTCTACTATAACAGCAAACTATGAGGATGAAGATACGCCCTCCGAAATGAGCTCAACCTGCAGTTCAAATTCGTTGGGATCAGATTATTTAACATGCGAAAGTTCTGCTTCTGAACAATCTAGTCTTTGTGAAGAACCCATCAACACTAAACCCACCATGATGACCAACTCTTCGTGTTCTGCTTCTGTAAGTGGATCAACCAATACGTCAAATTCAACAGTTTCTACTTCGGCTTCAACGGTACGTTCAATTGTTAGTGACATTTTTGATGGCAAATTATTATCTTCGGTCCAATGTTTAACCTGTGATCGCATCTCGACTCGAGAGGAAACTTTCCAGGATTTATCTTTACCCATTCCCAACCGTGATTTCTTGACAGTTCTTCATCAAACCAATAGCATAAGTGTACAAAGCTTGAATAGCATAGACTCTACAACATCGGCCAGGTCCAATGACAGTTGGTTATCGTGGATTTGGAATATGGTACGTTCTTGGCTGTGGGGTCCATCGGTGACATTGCACGACTGTATGGCTAGTTTCTTTAGTGCGGACGAACTAAAGGGCGACAATATGTATAGTTGCGAAAAATGTAATAAACTACGAACTGGAGTGAAGTATTCACGCATTCTAGATCTGCCCGAAGTTCTGTGCATACATTTGAAGCGCTTTCGTCATGATTTATCATACAGTTCGAAAATTTCTTCACATGTTGAATTTCCATTGGAAAATTTCGATATGAGATCTTATATACACAAGGATTGCAAATCGCAAATACCACTTTACAATCTCTCTTCGGTGATATGTCATCATGGTACAGTGGGTGGTGGTCATTACACTTGTTTTGCCCGCAATGCTCTTACCGATCGCTGGTATGAATTCGATGATCACCATGTCAATGAAGTTCAGCCGGAGGTTGTTCAAAACTGCCAAGCCTATGTTTTATTCTATCACAAAAATAATCCTCAAATGGAGCATATACGTTTTGAGGCAAACGAATTGGCTGCTTCGTATCCGGTATCACAGTCCGACATAAGATTTTACATATCTCGGGAGTGGTTGGCACGCTTTAATACATTCTCAGAGCCTGGTCCTATAAGCAACTGGTCAATGCTTTGTCCCCATGGAGGCGTTTTGCATTCAAAAATATCGGTGATAGCACAGTTGGCAGTACCAATTTCTCAACAATTGTGGGAGTTTCTATATCGCAAATTTGGTGGCGGTCCAGCCATTAATATGCTATTTGAATGTGAGGCTTGTAAGAGATCTGCAGAGGCCTTAGCACATCGTCAACATTACGAACATTCCGTTTTCCAACGTTACAATGACTTGGAACTGGATTCGGGTGCCATTTATGCTGTCTCCATGAGCTGGTTACGTAAATGGCAACAATTTGCCAGAGGTTTGACACACAAGGAACCTGGCGCCATTAATAACTCTAGTATAGTGCCATCATCAAAAGATGCAGGACAAAAGAGTTCGCCAGTGCGTAATGTACGCATTGGTTCTGATTATGTGCAAATAAATGCACCAGCTTGGCGCTTCTTGCACGACATTTATGGTGGCGGTCCGGAAGTTCTATTAAGGCCCTCACTAACGGAAGAGGTAACTTTTTGTTTAATTATTAAATTTAAATGTTGTGTATAATGTTTTTCTTTTAGATCATTATTATAGATCAAGATGAATTGGATGAGAGTGAGGATGGTCAAACTGGTAACATTTCAGACACTGAAAGTAACATGGGAGGACACAATTATAATTTCCCCGAATCTATAGCTGTTAATACTACAACAGAAAGTTCACTCAACGAAAATGCAGAAGAGTGTGAGGATGAGGTTTCCTCGCCTAATGCCAACAAGAAAAGGCAAAAGCAAAAAGAAAAGTCGACGGGTAAGAAATATACCAAAACTTCGCATGTAACCAAAAAACTAACATTAACCAAAGGAGCCAAAAACAAAGGAAATCAAGAATTATTTGGCCTTCAAGGTAAGGAAAAACTCTAAAATCCAATTTGAATAATTTATAAACCTTTTTCTTAAAGGTAAATATATAGCAAAAGATAGTGAAACATATTCCCAAGATGATGACGAAGAACAAGTGCAGCAGCAACAACAACAAAATAGCCATAACGATAAGCAACAAGAAGCATTTATTACATTGGGTAATAAATCGAAAAAAGCATTCCGCAACGAAAAACGCCAAAAACAGCAGCAGCAACGTAAAACAAATGTCGCTGCCAATGTGAACGAGCCAACGGAAAAACGTAATAAACGTGGTAAAAAATCGAAAAACTCTGTTGTTTTGAAAACCATGCAACAAATACCTGACACAGCTGCCAGTGATTCCAATGAAACGGATATCTAGAGTGTGACTACATATGAAAAACATATTTGATTTCTTTATATTTTGTTTCTTCTTTAGTTCGTTGGTAACAACGAAAAACTTGTAATAATTATGTTTATTTCCATTTCTTTCTTAGAAATTTAATTTATTTTAATTAGTTTTTAATAAATAAATAAAAAAAAGGAAAACAAACTCTGCTTGATGAGTTTATTGTGGGTAGAGGCTTTATAACTTAAAAGATGAATAAAAAAAATAATGTAACTATATAAATATTAGAAAACGAAAAATTAAAATAATAGCTCAAGTGAGTTCAATTATGAATTAATGATAAATTTGGTGTATTTTAAATAATATTAATTAATTCAAAAAAGAAATGAAAACGGAAAACAATTACATCTTGTGATAATGTAAAGACAACTAAGAAATGTTCAATATTTATTAAACACGAAATAAAAATGTCTTATCGCAAAATATTAAACCAAGTAAAATATTGTTTTTTTTTTTTTTGGAGGAGTATGATTGGGAAAAAGGTGACATATGAAAAATGAATGAAATTTAATAAACTGATTGAATCAGAAACAACTCTGCCTTGGGTGAGAGTTTTAGTAGTCGCTGTTAAAATGGCTGAAAATGGCGGAATAACAAACAAACTAACTAACTAACTAACTAACTAACTAACTAACCTAACTAACTAACTAACTAACTAACTAACTAACTAACTAACTAACTAACTAACTAACTAACTAACTAACTAACTAACTAACTAACTAACTAACTAACAACTAACTTACTAACTTACTAACTTACTAACTTACTAACTAACTAACTAACTAACTAACTAACTAACTAACTAACTAACTAACTAACTAACTAACTAACTAACTAACTAACTAACTAACTAACTAACTAACTAACTAACTAACTAACTAACTAACTAACTAACTAACTAACTAACTAACTAACTAACTAACTAACTAACTAACTAACTAACTAACTAACTACTAACTACTAACTAACTAACTACTAACTAACTAACTAACTAACTAACTAACTAACTAACTAACTAACTAACTAACTAACTAACTAACTAACTAACTAACTAACTAACTAACTAACTAACTAACTAACTAACTAACTAACTAACTAACTAACTAACTAACTAACTAACTAACTAACTAACTAACTAACTAACTAACTAACTAACTAACTAACTAACTAACTAACTAACTAACTAACTAACTAACTAACTACTAACTAACTAACTAACTAACTACTAACTAACTAACTAACTAACTAACTAACTAAACTAACTAACTAACTAACTAACTAACTAAACTAACTAACTAACTACTAACTAACTAACTAACTAACTAACTAACTAACTAACTAACTAACTAACTAACTAACTAACTAACTAACTAACTAACTAACTAACTAACTAACTAACTAACTAACTAACTAACTAACTAACTAACTAACTAACTAACTAACTAACTAACTAACTAACTAACTAACTAACTAACTAACTAACTAACTAACTAACTAACTAACTAACTAACTAACTAACTAACTAACTAACTAACTAACTACTAACTAACTAACTAACTAACTAACTAACTAACTAACTAACTAACTAACTAACTAACTAACTAACTAACTAACTAACTAACTAACTAACTAACTAAACTAACTAACTAACTAACTAACTAACTAACTAACTAACTAACTAACTAACTAACTAACTAACTAACTAACTAACTAACTAACTAACTAACTAACTAACTAACTACTAACTAACTAACTAACTAACTAACTAACTAACTAACTAACTAACTAACAAACAAACTAACAAACTAACAAACTAACTAACTAACTAACTAACTAACTAACTAACTAACTAACTAACTAACTAACTAACTCACTAGCTAACTAACTAACTCACTAACTAACTAACCTTTCCTTATTGGATTAAGTACTTTGTAAACAATGCCTAGCATAAGGAAGATGTGTGTCACAAAACAATAAATAAAACAAATGCTGACTAACAAATTAACTACATTTCCCTAGGGGAATGCTAGAAACATGCTAGACCAACAAATGCCCATCAGTTGTTGTCTTTATCAAGTTACTAAAGGCTTCAAAATTAGTCATTACTTAAATAGGTTTCTTATAACAGTGTAAACATTTAAAAATAACATATTTTTTGTAATTTTTCCTCAAAAAGTCTTTATTTAATTTAAGTTAAAAATTAACTATTTTAACCCTAAAAACCATACAGTTCTTTTAAAATCGTTTAAAGTGCATTTCTTGTTTAATCTTAAACATCTTCATCAATGTATTGTACAAGTTTTCCAAGTGTTTTTTTTTTTTTTTTGTTTGGTTCTCTTTTAAAACATCAAACAATTATCGATCGGCAAAGCGTTTTTGTATTCAAAATTAAAATAATGAAAAGCATCTCGAAAAAATTGTGTATGAAAATTTGTGTATCTGCCCCCTTGCTATGAACATGAGAGAACCAAAATCTATTTATAGTTTGATTTTCATTTTCATGTGTTATAATTTAGTTTTTCTTTAATTTTCCCTACATTCGGCCGCTATTTTCTAATAAAGTACAAAAAATTTTAATATTTTTACAAAAAAAAACCATAAATTTTTAAAAGAAAAACTATGAATCCTTGTACTATCTGTAAAACGGAAACAAAAAATAGTTGTTCCAATTGTAAACAAGTATTTTACTGTTGTGTGGAGCATCAAAAACAAGATTGGAAAAATCACAAGAAAAATTGTCATCCATATAAGGTAGAAATTATATATATATATTTTTGAAAGTGAATTGAATATAAAGTGCATTACTTCTAATTGAAAATAGATTGTACAAAATGAAGAATTGGGACGTCATTTGATCACCACCCGTACTATTAAACCCTTTGAAATTATTTTGAAGGAGGCTCCTTTATTCCGTGGTCCCTCTCAGCTAACTCCACCGGTATGTTTGGGTTGTTTGAATGCTATTGAACCCACAGATTATATAAATTGTGAACAATGCGGTTGGCCCTTGTGTGGTGTTGAATGCAAAAATAAAGATGAACATCGTTTCGAATGTGAATTGACCGTTAAACGCGGCAAAAAGGTGAACGTACAGGAATTCACCAATCCTCATCCATTGTATCAATGTTTGAGTACAGCCCGCTGTTTGATGTTGCGCGATAAAGATGCTGAGAAATGGAAACAAATTAATGAGCTAGAATCGTTAGAGGATCAAAGACGTGGTTCTATGCAATGGAAGGCCGATTACGAAAGTGTTTGTAAATTTATTATAAAGTGAGTATTTAAAGGGAAAATTTTGATATATAAAAATTATGTATTCACTGGTATTTGGTATATTTTATTGACAAGTCCATGGATTAGTCTGAATAGGCTATTATATGAACTAGTAAATAGATTAGCCCATGAATTAGGGAGAGCCAATAGATTAATCTTGTATATAGACTAGTCAATAGACTAATCTATGGACTACTATATTGACTTACTATAAGTTTATTAACTAGTCTATGGATCAGTCAATAGACTAGTCTGTTAACTAACCCGTGGCCTGTTGTTTAGTCTGTTGACCAGACTTCCGTCTAATCTAGAGACTACTTTTTTAAACATTCTGCGTTATTTTCTATATCAAAAGTACTGAAAAATTATACGGTTTCCATTCCTTTTTTCTAGATAAAAATCTAGCTTTTGTACTATACATCTGGCTTTCTATAATACCAATCAAATTTCTTGATTTCTTTCTAGATATTTCAACACTCAATTATTTAGTGAAGATGAAATTATGCGCATTATTGGCATATTACAAATCAATGGCCACGAAGTGCCCACCTCTGATCCAGCCCATGTTGGTATTTTCTATAACGCTTCATTCCTAGAGCACTCCTGTACACCCAATATAGCCAAAAGTTTCAATAAAGATGGTCATCTTGTACTCTGGGCACCCAAGGAAATTAAGAAAGGTTCTCACTTAAGTATCTGTTATTCAGATGCTGTATGGGGTACTGCCGATCGTCAGCGTCATTTAATGCAAACTAAAATCTTTAAATGTCAATGTCCTCGCTGTATTGATGTTACCGAATATGGTACCAATTATAGCGCTTTAAAATGTGAAAAATCCGAATGTAGAGGTTTAATGTTGCCAGCTAATTTGAATGATTGGCATAAGGATTGGACGTGAGTTAATGAATTTCTATCATAAGTTATATGTTAATTACATCTTACAATTTAGTTGCAAGGAATGCAAGCATCAAGTGGACAAGACTTATGTTAATAATATCTTGGAAAGAGCCGGCAGTGATTTGAATGCCATGGATAAAACAAAGGAAAATTGTCTCAAGTAAGTAGCATTAAGTAGTTGTATAAATTGTTTACCTAATTCACCAAATATTTGACTAATGTGTAATGCTCAATTCTCATCAAACTACTATTACCAATGAGTAAGAATCCCTGTTGGTCTACTTTATTTTGTATTTCTTAATAAGAACATTTAAACAATTGTTTGAAAACAACTTTTACCGCTCTTGGTTACTGCTGTTATCAATAATGTTTAACCGTAAACGATTGATAAAAACAGTATTTTAAAAGTTCTCACTAGGGTTTCTGTGAGGAAAATAATACATATCTAACTGTCGTTCTTTAATCGATAATTTTTGTTCGAAACTAAAATACAAATACTGACATAACGACATAATCTGGAAAGAAACAGCTCTAGTAATTAGTTGTAGAGAAGTTTTAGATAACAAGTCCTTTTTTGTGATTTTAATTTCGATATAAATTAGCCACCGATATTTTATTTTTAACGTTCTAGTTTCTGAAGGCAATATTTTAAATATTACGGTACTAGTATTAATATGTTGTTATATTTTCAGTCGCTGTACAATTCAAAACAAATGTTTAACAGTTTTCTTGGCTTATCTCAATATTTTGCGAATAAAAAATTTAACAACCGGCAAACCCTACTTCACGTACATGCGTACGTATGTATGTACATATACATATTTGTACACAGATTCGTCGAATATAATCAATACATATCGAGTAGTGACAAATTTTTTGCAAATCATGTAAACATAAAAAAATATAGGCAGGCAAGACAAGTGAAATGAAAATTAACTGAAAGAATATATAAAAATTAAAAAAAAAAATCACTTTTATAGGAACTTTAGAGTAAAATAAGTAACAAATAAACATTTAGACATTAAAATAGGCATTTCTAGTTCCACAACTATTTACAGCAGATATACAAAGTAGCATCGTTACTTAATATATTCCCAGTCACATAATTCCATTTCGATAGAAAGTAGAATTACATATTTCAGTATTTTACTTCTCAAGGAAAAGTAAAATGACATTTCTTCAGAATAAAGCCGATTTTAATAGTTTGAATTCTTTTAAAATTAGGTATAAAAATTAAATTTATAATGACCAAAGTATACTTTTCTATACGATTATCCGAATGAACCCGAATCTGACCTCAGAACTTATCCATTACATCAAGTTTTTCAGATATGGTGTGGTATAGTAGACACTGAGTCCTCTAATAGTCCTATATGTCGACTTTAAAATAATTTTAAAGTTCGCAGATTGAATATTCAGATGACATAATAAATTTTATAACCCCTCAAATAGGGCCAAAAACTATGTTTTTTAATCCTTTAGAAAAGTTTTGGGTTTAGGTATGAACATTTTTAAATGTTTGTTGGCCTTTTCTGGAGTTTGTGTGCCCTTAGTTTGGTCTATATTTCTCTATTAATAAAAATCTACAAATGTACTCCTTAAGTTTTAAAGTTCTCCCTTAAATGTTATTGACTTAAATTTAAAGCAACTTTGTCATATATCAGACATCACAGGAATACTTCTTACTACTCCTGAAACAGATACATATTCGAAAATTTATCTTATTAGATGCCGTAGTTCCTGATTTTATCAATTTCGAACAAACATTACTCTTTTATTAATATAGATGGATTTTACGGCTTTTTAAAAATCAAATTGTTTATGGCGTTCCGCGATAGTATTTTCATATACTATATACAGCATATGTATGTATATTTTTCAAGGGGTCTATAGACGTTAAAACTTAACGTACTAATAAACTAATCAGTTGTTAAAATGAAATTTATTAACAATTATCGTTTTACAAAATTATTTCTTATTAGAGAGCGCCTAAAGTTTGCAATATTAATTCAATAAAATTGCAAAGAAAAAATTATTAATATAATTTAAACAGTCAACAAATTTCATTATTATATTCGCAATATAATTCAGTTTATTGTAATAAATTTGTTAAAGTAAATAATTATCAAAAAATTAACTTCTACACAAACACTTTAAGGCGTTATTTTGTAAATTACATACTTTATCACTTTTTAAAAAACTGTCATTGTATGCTTTTTTGTTATAGAAAAATTATATGAAAACATTGAGGGGGTGTTTTCCAGAAATGTTTTAGACCGATATGTTTCACACACATAATTCACATAACACTAAAAAAATAAACAATTAATCAAATTGTATTATTAAGTCAAATAATTCTCTTTTATGTAACTTCTGTAATTTTTAAATTTTTTTATATGTATTTAAAAAAAAAAAAAAAATCTGCAAGCCTTTTATGAACAAAACTAAATGATGCAATTTAGAAAAAAAAAATCGTCTAGGAATTATAACTATTGTATTGTTTTATGCCAATATTTTTGAGGTTGATAAAATTGAAAATATAGAAAGCAGATAATAGAATTGGTATGTGTGGTAAAAATAACAATATTATGACGCAAAATAATTTGCTGAACACCCTACATTGCAGGTGATATAGATGAAAGAGGAATGAGTTTGTAAGGATATTAGTAATAGATGAAAGTATATACTTAAATACAATGATATGTCAGATCTCCTATATTCTAGCACAAAAGCAAACCGCATCTATCCAGATATATACAAGAGCACAGCTGATCGCTTTTTATATGTATATGAACTTAAGATCTCTCAAGTGTCAAATTTAAAAAAAAAATTGACAGTTATCAGATAGCTTATGGATGCAGTTGTTATTAAATAGTTTTATAAGATAGTAGTGTAATTTACATTCGGTGTTGATAGCCTATATTAACTTTCTTTTTTGCTATTATACATCAATTAAATTTGCAACAACATGTGTTTAATAGATATTGAGATGGCTATTTCTTATCAAACATTTTTTTGTGTGTTTTGTATACACGATTCAAATTAAATGACACACGATACAATGACTTGAAAATGCTGTTTGGGTTTTCCTTTAAACAGCCGTCTTTAGTTAAAGCGAATAAGTATGTATGATAAGATATGTAAAATTTAGTTACATATACACATATTCATATATGATTTGAAGTGCACTAAATAAATGATTAATCTTTATGTCGTTGTAACTGAAAACTTGAAAATATTTTAAAGTACCTAAGTACCCACTAAAAATAGTTAAAATTGACATTTAATTTAAACGATTGTCAGATATTTGGAATATATCATACGAAATACTAATGAATTATTAGATCCAAACTGCAACTGTGAGAAATGTCAGGTCATTAAGTTAAGACCTAGTTAAGTCGCCAATGTTGGATATAATGTAGTTGCCAAGTAAATTATTTCTCTTACAGCTAGAGCCGGGCAATCACAGGGATGATGGAAGGAAGACCTTTTCTTCTTTTACTTTTGTATTGCAGGCACAACTCGACTAGCAAATATACACTCGATATACAGTTATTACCGCCAGAAACTTATATATGTCCAGTATTTTATAATGAGGTTCTTATAGAAAAATTACCACATTAACTTGGCCACTCTAAATGTGTCCAGACTGTTCTATCTTTTTTCTTATTTTTGAACCATGCGTATAAATCCCGATGTATATATTCATTCATTATATTTCCTCTGCAACACTCGCTTCTATAAGGCACTCTATTAAAGTGAGTATGTGGCGTAATATAGTCAGATGATGGGTTCAAGGCTGGGGTCAGCTGGCTTGTCCGTATGATCTTCATTTCAAATATCTCGATGCGTTATTGTAATTAGTGCTTCTGTTTAACCAATGCATTCCGATCTCCAAACTTAATATAGTGTAACTACTATAAGATTATTTTTATTAGCAGTCCACCATATCAAAGATCCGTCAGTAAGATGACCATTTAAGATCCATTTATGTGCGGAAGAGTAGTAGGCAATCCTCGCATTCTTTACACAGAGTTGAGTGTTCATTTTCCATTATAATTTAGAATCCAGAACAATACCTAGATATTTTGCATTGTTTGATAGGAGGATTTCGCTGTTTTTAACCCCGCGGCAGTTTAAAGCTTGTAATCTTCGTCTTTGTTGTTCGTTTTTGAATTACCCCTAGACCACATTCTGTTGTTAGGTTTTCTATTTATATAAGAAATTTAATTTTATTAGTAGTTCGTTATACTCCAACTCAGCTGTAAATAAATTAACATTTATATTTTCTTGCAGATATCTAAGTCACTATGGTAGATGGTTACCTAGTCATCATTACTATATGTGTGAAGTCAAAATACATTTGGTGCAACAATTGGGCAAAGAACCTCAAGAACTTATGATTTTACCAAATGAAGATTTAAGAATAAAATTAGAATACGGCAGAGAGTTAGTGGAATTATATGAAAAATTGGCGCCATGTAAGTATAATTTGTGAAATCGAGCAGCACGTGACGTTAATTAAAAAATGTATGTTGTTATCTTCTTAGGCGAAGTTCGCATGTTAGGTACACTTTGCTTTGAAGTTCATTCCGCTGTAGCAGAAAATACTCGCCGTATTTCCTTGGAAACTAGTTTATCACCCAAAGAACTGCTAGAAGAAGCCTTAATGTATGTGGAAAAGTCTGTTAATTATCTGCAATATGAATCGGATATATTTGTGGAAGGACATATGTTGAAACAAGCCAAAATTAATAGAGATGCTTTAAAAATGGTCATAAGAATGTAAAAATATTCAGTTATTTCAATTTTTTGTATAATTTAAATAAAATGTTTAATAAAATAAAAAAAACAAATTTTCAATCATCATTACAATTGAAAATCGTTTACAATTAAGTGGTAAATTTCTAATATACATTTATAGTCTCGACTGAGTAATCGTTTTACTACGTCTATTGGTAAGTACGATGTTTGAATAAATTTGGATGCGGCACATTCGTAACTATTAACTATTAATGTATGTGTAAATAGACTTCAATACATACCCATTTTTTTTTTTGAGGAATTATCACTATCATCCCCGATAACTTATCAGCTAAATAATGCCAATCTAATACAAATATATTTGAATTTTCCAATATATACAGTATGAGGAATTGACCAAGAACTTCAGTAGTGTACGATATTTTGGCAATAGCAGTTTAACTCTTAATTTAATTATAACCTTGGCAAATATTTAAAAAAATAAACTAAAAATAAAAACATAGAATCACGTGATGAGTGGTGTTAACGGGAATCAAAAGGACGATATGTCCTATTACAAAAGTAATATAACATTAGGTGATGACAATACAGATCAATATATAACTGGTTCATCAGTGTAAGTGTTATCAAAAAAACTGAAATTATTAACTGCAAAAAGATAAAAATATGTTCTAGTGCTTATAAAGGATTTAAAAAATTTTCTGGAAAATAATTTCGATCATGAACGTGCTTAACACATTTAATAGCGTGACGTCTTAAAAGATCGTATACAATTTTGAATACTGCAAACTTAAAAATTTGTGTAAACTAATGTTTTAAGTGATGTCAAATTTTGCAAATTTTGTGAAATCGTTTAAAATTATCTCTCAACGAAGTTTTTATTTTCTTCAATTTGTGATGAAAAGCTAAATTTTCTTATCGAATTTATAAATGTCATAAATATCTATTGATAATACAATTACGACGAGAATAACAAAACAAATTGTTATAAATATTTTTATACATATTTACTATTATATTTTTGCGTATCTATGATGAAGTGTGTAGCTTAAAAAATTTGTCGCTTAAGTAGTTAACATCGAATATTTGTTTGAATGGGTGATTCAAATTGAATTGGTAGTGAGAACTGACTATATTTTTTTGTAAAAGAATTGATATTTAAATAATGTTAATTAAATTTAAAGACATATCGTCTTCCTCTAAAATTTGTGGTTCCTGATTAAGCCAACCAAGTAACTCTTTTACTTTAAATAAAATATACTTTTCCTGTATAATTAACTAACTAACTAACTAACTAACTAACTAACTAACTAACTAACTAACTAACTAACTAACTAACTAACTAACTAACTAACTAACTAACTAACTAACTAACTAACTAACTAACTAACTAACTAACTAACTAACTAACTAACTAACTAACTAACTAACTAACTAACTAACTAACTAACTAACTAACTAACTACTAACTAACTAACTAACTAACTAACTAACTAACTAACTAACTAACTAACTAACTAACTAACTAACTAACTAACTAACTAACTAACTAACTAACTAACTAACTAACTAACTAACTAACTACTAACTAACTAACTAACTAACTAACTAACTAACTAACTAACTAACTAACTAACTAACTAACTAACTAACTAACTACTAACTAACTAACTAACTAACTAACTAACTAACTAACTAACTAACTAACTAACTAACTACTAACTAACTAACTAACTAACTAACTAACTAACTAACTAACTAACTAACTAACTAACTAACTAACTAACTAACTAACTAACTAACTAACTAACTAACTAACTAACTAACTAACTAACTAACTAACTAACTAACTAACTAACTAACTATCTAACTAACTAACTACTAACTAACTAACAAACCTAAATACATAACTTATATTATCCCCCTATTCTGTATTTCAAATCGTATCGAAAATATCGAAATATTTCAACAATTTAAGAATTTTTCATTTCGTTTTCGAATTGGTGAAAATACTAAGTATTTTCAATAGTTTCCTAATGTTTTAATTTACGACAATTCAATAATATAAAAAAATCTATTTCTCTTTAGGCCCATAAACGGTGAAAAGAAAAAAGCCCATTGGTGGAATAGAAAGAAAAGTAAAGATGATGACAGTACTTCCGGAAATAGCGAGGAAAGTGATAAACCCAAAGATGATGTACAACCAGTGGCATTTTATAAAATGTTTAAATATGCCACAACCTCAAATAAAATTATGTATTTTGTGGGTATATTAGCATCCATTGCCACAGGCTTAACAACACCAGCTAACAGTTTGATTTTTGGTAATCTGGCCAATGTAAGTGATAAAGTTATATAACTCAAAATCCCACAATACAAATAATATGATGTTTTTTGCTATTTGAAATAGAACATGATTGATTATGCTGAATTCATGGGTGGCTATACTAGGGCAGATGAATCCGGTATGTTATTGGATGCTGTACAAGAGTTTGCTTTTCAAAATACCATGATTGGTGTGGTAATGTTGGCTTGCAGTTATATCTCTATAACGCTTTTTAATTATGCCGCTCATGCCCAAATCTTACGTATACGTGGTAAATTCTTTAGGTCTATATTACATCAAGATATGGCTTGGTATGATTTTAATCAAAGTGGTGAAGTGGCCAGTCGTATGAATGAGTAAGTTAACTCTTATCATTTAATTTGGGAAGGGTTTGTTTACTATTAATTTCTCCTCTTCTTTTAGAGATTTGTCGAAAATGGAGGATGGTTTAGCTGAAAAGGTGGTTATGTTTGTCCATTATATGGTGGCTTTTGCCGGTTCCATTATTTTGGCTTTTTATAAAGGTTGGCAATTGGCGTTGGTATGCTTGTGCAGTTTGCCAGTAACTTTTATAGCTATGGGTTTGGTGGCTGTGGCTACCTCAAAGTTGGCCAAACAAGAACTTAATGTTTACGCTACAGCTGGTAATATTGCTGAGGAGGCTCTCAGCGGCATACGTACTGTCAAAGCTTTTGAGGGTGAATCTAAAGAAGGCACAGCTTATAAGTCCCAAATTGTTGCTGCTCGTAATTTAAATATCAAACGTAACATGTTCTCGGGTATGGGTTTCGGTTTATTGTGGTTCTTCATTTATGCCTCCTACGCACTCGCTTTTTGGTATGGTGTGGGTTTGGTTTTAAAGAGTTACGATAAAATTCCTGGCTATGAAAACTATGATGCTGGTACTATGATTACTGTGAGTAAAAGACGATTTATTTTTTTATCACTTTTAGATTGATTTTATGATTTCGTTTCTTCTAGGTTTTCTTTTCCGTTATGATGGGATCTATGAATATTGGCATGGCTTCACCTTATATTGAGGCTTTTGGTATTGCCAAGGGTGCTTGTGCTAAAGTTTTTAAATTAATCGATCAAATTCCCACTATTAATCCTATCGAAACCAGAGGTGTCAATTTAAATCAACCCTTAACTCATATCGAATTTCGTGATATCGATTTTCACTATCCGACGCGTAAAGAAGTTAAAATTCTTAATAAGTTCAATTTAAAAATTCAACGAGGTCAAACGGTAGCCTTGGTAGGCTCATCGGGTTGTGGCAAATCAACATGCATTCAATTGATTCAACGTTTTTATGATCCCGAAGGTGGTCAAGTACTTTTCAACAATGTGGATTTGAAAGATATAGACATAACATGGTTGAGAGGACGTATTGGTGTAGTAGGTCAAGAGCCCATTTTATTCGGTACTTCAATTTATGAAAACATACGTTACGGCCGTGAAGATGCTACCAAAGAACAAATAGAAGCTGCCGCTAGAGCGGCCAATGCCATGATATTCATCAATAAGCTTCCTCAAGGTTTTGATACTTTAGTAGGAGAACGTGGTGCTCAATTGTCGGGTGGCCAGAAACAACGTATTGCTATCGCCAGAGCTTTAGTAAGAGATCCTGAAATATTGTTATTGGATGAAGCCACTTCGGCTTTGGATACTGCCAGTGAAGCAAAGGTACAGGCTGCCTTAGAAAAGGCATCTGAAGGTAGAACTACAGTGATCGTAGCTCATCGTCTCTCCACCATTCGTCGTGCAGATCGTATTGTGGTCATTAACAAGGGCAGTGTGGTAGAGGGTGGTACTCATAATGAGCTAATGGCCTTGAAACAACACTACTACAACTTAGTTATGACCCAATTGGGTGAAGATGCTAATGTCACTACCCCCGGACTTAAGCAAAATGAATTCTTTGCCAATGCCAAGGATGAAGACGAAGAACAAATAAAAATTACTCACGTTGAAGAAGTTATCGAGTCCAAAGAGGAAAAGAGTACTTTCTCAATTTTCAACATTTTGAAAATGAATCGCGATGAATGGCCCCAAATCTTGTGTGGTTGTGTTTCATCTGTTATTATGGGAGCTGCTATGCCTTTGTTTGCTGTACTTTTTGGTTCAATTCTACAAATTTTGGCAGTCAAAGATAATCCCCAGTATGTGAGAGACAATACAAATACATTCAGTTTGTATTTCCTCATTTGCGGTATTGTAGTGGGTATTGCAACATTCTTGCAGGTGAGTTTATTTTTAACGTCTTCAATATAAATTGAAAATATAATGTGCCTGTCCATTTGTTACAGATCTATACATTTGGCATTGCTGGTGAAAAGTTGACAGAGCGTTTGCGTGGCATGATGTTTGACGCTATGTTAAGAATGGAAATTGCCTGGTTTGATGATCGTGCTAATGGTACTGGTTCTTTATGTGCCCGCTTGTCTGGTGATGCCTCAGCTGTTCAAGGTGTAAGTAAACTTTAAGTCAAGAAGTATTTTCAAAATAAATCTATTTCATTTTTACCCTACAGGCTACCGGTCAACGTATTGGTACTATTGTTCAATCTTTGGCTACACTATTTTTGGGTGTTGGACTTTCCATGTACTACGAATGGAGTTTGGGTCTTTTGGCTTTAGCCTTTACGCCGTTCATTTTAGTTGCCACCTATTTGCAGCGCAAAGTTATGGCCCAAGAAAATATGGGTACCGCCAAAACAATGGAAAAATGTACCAAGGTAATACAAACACTTTAAACTCATATACATATGTAT